TCTAGATCAAGCAATGCCTCCAATTCTTCGTCTTCAAACTTTGTCGGTGCTCCAGAACGTTCTTTATCTTCAAGGTCAAAGTCATTATTTTTAAAGCGCCTAAACCAGTCTCTGCATGTCGTATTCGACAGAGCATTGTCACCATATGTTTCAACAAGAATTCTGTGTGCTTCAGCTGCAGATTTCTTTTGAATAAAGCAGTGCAATAAAATTCCCCGCAAAAACACTTTATTTGGCACAAAAGTAGACATTTTCGCAATAGGTAATTAAACACGTGGTTGACACTGTGGTAAACTGTATCTACTAGAATTTGAGGTTACATATAGTACTACTTAGCTGATGCGTTTCCGTACGAAATTCCATGCACAGAGTGCCGCTACGCCATCTTTTAAGAAACAGCGAGAACTTATTCAAGGACCTAATATGATTTCTCTAAACCTTCAAAATAAGCGTTAGTTTCATCAATTACTTTGATATTTGAGCCAAATCTTTTTTCAACAAGCCATTCTTCATGTTTGAAAAGAGAAAAAAGTCACTGGAAGCTAAACCTGGTGAATACGGCGCGTGCGGAATCAATTCAAAGCGCAATTCATACAATTTTGCGACTGCAATCGAAGAAGTGTGAGCGGGTGCATTGTCATGATGGAAAAGCACTTTTTTTTTGCCAAATGAGGATGTTTGGCCTTAATAGCATCGTTCAATTGATGCAATAATGCTGCATAATATTCTCCGTTTGGTTTTTCCTTTTTCTAGATAGTCGATGAGCACAATACCATGAAAATCCCAGAAAACAGTTGCTATCACCTTTCTGGCTGATGGAACTGTTTTCGAATTCATGTTTCATCAACAGTGATAAAGCGCCGCAAAAAATCAGTTGGATTTAAACATGTCCAAACACTCCTTAGAAACGTCATTCAAATGCGTTTTTGATCGACTGTTAGCAAACGCGGCATCCATCGCGCTGAAAGCTTTTTCATATGCAAATACTCATGTAAGATGTTGAACGCGATCATTTGAGATGTTTGCAATGTTAGCAAGCTCACGTACTTTTGCTCGTCGATCATTCAACGACATTATGGATTTTTTCTGATTTTGTCAGTCGTAGCGGTTTTTGGACCTGAACGTTTATCATCATTTATAGACGTACGACCGCGTTTAAATTCCGCTTTAAATTTCCCATTTCTTAACAGTTGAAAACGATGGTGAAGATTCTCCCAAAATTGAATCAAGCTCGTTTTTTATTTCTGTTGGCGTTAAACCTTTCAAAATGAAGTATTTTATCACTGCGCAATATTCAACTTTATCCATTTTTAAAGAAAACCAAAAGTTGATTGCTTTACACGACCAAAATAAAGAAACTAATGAACGTATATGTCTGAAATTTTGACAGTAGTCTGCAGGATAAAACTTACAAAAAATTACAGCGGTTTGATTCTTCTAATCCCAGGTAGCACATGTTCGTTTCAGAAACGTTTCTCGTTGGTTAAAATGTCAATCCGAAAAACGTTAAGAGAAACGTCATTTTTCCGACAAAAAACGTTTTTTTATCCACGCGCGAAAAATGTATTTTTTTCTCACGGAATTAATAAAATAATACATTCATATATATTGGTCTATAACTTGAAACCCGCTTTTTTTTGCAAAAATTAAGCCTTTATTTAAGAAACAAATGAAAAAAATACATCAATCAAAGTATTGGCCATCGTTAGATATGACTTGTTCCCATCTTTCTGGCAATAAGCGAATCTCACGGCGAAAGAACGACTCAACTTTAGAAGCTATCCAGTCAGATCCATTTTTCGACGCTTTCATAAAAGTTGAAGTGTTCCTTAGCAAGTGCGTGTGCCATCGACCGAAACAAGTGGTAATCGGAAGGGGCACAGTCTGGTGAATAAGCCGCATGGGGTAGCACTTCCCGAAGTGTTTCCAAATGTTTCCTTGACAGCCTTGGTGACGTGAGGTCGAGCGTTGTCATGAAGCAAGATCATTTTATGCTGTCTTGTCTCATATTTTGGTCGTTTTTCGCGCAATATTTGGCTCAAACGGATTATTTGTTGTTGGTAAAGATCCCCTGTGACTGTTTGACGAGATTTTAGTATCTCATAGTATACCCTTCTGGTCCCACCAAATACAGAGCATGGTCTTCTTCCCATAAATATTGCATTTTGGCGACGATGTTGATGGTTGGCCTGGGTCGCAAATGGTTTGGGTTATCGAAATAGATCCACTTTTCATTGCCAGTCACAATTCGATGCAAAAACTCCTTTCTTTTTTGTCTGACAAGCAGCATTTCGGAGATGGTTTTTCGCCTTTCGATGTTTCTTTCTTTCAGTTCATATGGCACCCATCTTCCTTCCTTGTATGGCTTTTAAACGCTTGGAAATGGCTGCTTGAGTAACATTCAACGTTTCTGCAAGTTGATTTTGTGTTTGACATAGATCTTCATCCACCAATGCTTGCAGTTCTGTATCTTCAAATTATTTTTGCTGGCCTGGACGTTCTTTATCATTCGTGTCAAAATCACCAAGTTTGAATCGCCGAAACCATTCCTTGCAAGTTGTTTCCGATAGAGCAAGTTCCCTATAAGCTTCAACAAGCATTCGATGAGATTCAGCAGCAGTTCTCTTCAAATTAAATCAGAAAAACAAAGCTTCGCGCAAATGATGCTTATTTGGTTGAAATTCAGACATTTTCTTCGCAGTAAAAAACTATGTTATTGTCACAAACACAAACTTGTATTACTGAATATTATTGACAGATGTCAAAACTAAAAATGATGCCTTGTTCAGCCATAACAGTTGACGATTGTCAGAGTTACAACTACTTATCGCTAGAAGGCGGGTTTCAAGTTATAGACCTAATATAATACCCTATAGCAGAGCTCGGTTAGTTGCACATTTCGGCTCGATTCTTGAGACGACGCCTCCCGCTCTCCTACTACCGCGCGGCCGCTGGCGGCCGAGCCGCCGATAGCCTTGACTCAGGAATGTTTTATATTAGAAACAGGCTGGATTGTTTAGGCATCTCTCGTAACATTTTCTTCGCTACATAAATGTTTATTTTTATTAATAATTAAATATATATATTATGTATATATATATTATGAAAATGTTATGATTTCCGAGCATGTGCTACCTGGTATATGAGGAGAGATAATCATTGAATGTTTTAAACATCACGATATTTCATGTAAAATTCATGATTGGAATGACAAATAATCAAATAGAATCAACATTTTGAGCAAACAATATCACTGTTCATGATTGGATATATTTCAAATATTTAATATAAAATTCATGATTAAACCAAAAAATAATATCACAAAAACAACTGTAAGTAAACTGGATAATAATTTATAGTTGGATGTATTCCAAGTAAACTGTAATCCAGATTGTTCACAGTTGGTTTTGTGGTAATATTTTTTGGTCATGAATTTTACATTGAATATTTAAAATACATCCAATCGTAAATTGTGATATTGTTTGCTTAAAATAAAACTTCTAAATTATTATTTGTAAATATTACTTGTAGATATATTACTTCGTAATGTTGATGTAATAATATTGAAAGCTGCAAAATTTGCATGTTGCTTGAAAATTTGGCAATTTTGTGGAATTCTGTTACAGTTTACTTTTATTTGCGATCTTCGATGACATAAACAATACATCTGTTTCAAGTGACAAAACACGTTTTGACAAATCAACTGTGTCGTGTGCTTCTTGCATATTTTTCAATTCATCCGAATGTTGCATTTTTATATGACGATTCAAATAAATTTCAATAGAAGAAGATATGTTATTGTTACAAGTATTACACTCCACTATAAAATCACTACTTTGTGTCCAATATTTCCGTGACCAATCTCGAAGTAAATGATTCTCCCGTTGTTCTTCAGAATGCGAACTCAAGTGATAGATTTCTACAGATTCAGATGTAGACAGAACATTTGTCATCACAGTGTAGTGATACATTGTGAATATAATTTGTTTGAATACTTGAAATACACCCATGGCCCTTTCATTAGTTTTTTCTCTTCTTCGTATTTGCAAATTGTTCTGACGTCTTGCTACATGTATTTGGAAGTTTGTAATAATTAATTCAAAATAAATTGCGTTGTACTCTTCCGTTATTCAATAATATATTATTAGTATGACAAAGCTACAAGAACCGAAATTAGATTTAAATGCTCAAATTTTCTTAACAACATATATTAACGAGTTCTGTTTTTAATTTCGAAATCAATTATATTGTGCCTTGTTAAATGCCGTGGAAAATCTTTTAATTCTATATTTTTACATATAAAACAGCATGTGTTTAACTCATTAAAATCAACGTCTGGAGTTTTTTCGTTTTTTAAATCAATTTGCTTTTTATGATCATTTTTCTAAATGTAACCGATACCTGCTCATAATAAACATATATAAGTTCTTTTTTGCAACCGTTATATTTAACCCTAAAATTTTTTTGCATTTTGTAATAATACTACCCATCTTTTAACAGATGTAATAATTTCGCACATTATGTCCGTTTGGCAAATACGCAATACAACAACTAACTGAATACGACACTCGTATTCAGTTATTTAATTATTACAAAATGCAAACCAATTTTAGGGCTAAATAAAACGGTTAATAAAAAAAAGAAATTACATATATTAATGTGCGCAAAGAACTATGCCCAGTTTGGGCTCCGAGTGAACAGTCATGAGTCATAATTATTTTAGGAAAAAAATTGAACGCGTAAAATGCACAAGGAAAGAACCGATTTTTTATCCAGTGAGTGGTATGTATTATTTTATGTTTAATTATATGGAAAAAGTAGAATATATATACTTATAAACGCTCTAATCTCTACAGATGGCATTAATTAATTAATTGCTTAATGTCACCCGTAAAAAAATGAGCGTTTTAAGTTTACAGAGGGTGTCCGGTAATTGCTGAATCACCGTTCGGGTACAATCAGGGCAGATCAAACCGAGTAGAAAAGTCTTCTATAGTTTTGCAATTTTCGCAATTAAGAGAAATTAATTAAAGAAGATCGGCTAATTTGCGCGAGTTTAAGCGCGCGGCTAGAAGAGACAGCCCACTGTTATCGCTAGGACGCAAGGATCTAGCGTTACGCACCGCTCGTATGTTGCCGTTGACATTTGTAGAGCGCTCCTCCCAACGCTTCATCGCGCGCTAACCAAATAAGTAACCAAATAAGAGTGGGCTGTGCCGCCACAATCTCTTTTCGTCGCGCGCTTAAACTCGCGCAAATTGGCAAATATTTAACTAACTAATTCCTCATTAATTATTGTGAAAATCGCAAAATAGTAAAGGACTTTTCTACTCGGTTAAACGCGCCCTGATTACCCAAAAAGATTTAGCAATTACCGGACAGCCTGTATATTTTACTTTTTCCACACATAAGCAATTAAACATAAAATAATACATACAACCATTCTGACAGAGATAGTTTCTTCTTTGTGCATTTTACGCGCACAATCATTTATGATTATAATTCATTTCCGCAAAACATGCTTAAAAATTCGGCAGTTTTATATAATATTTTCATACATGCTTTTTACTTGCAATATTTAGTGAAATAGACATTGTGTTCGTTTCAAATGATGAAACGCGTTCTGATATATGTTTCTTGCGTATTTTTCAATTTGTCCAAATGCGTCTTTCTTATATGAGAATCCAGATATGTCTGAATGGATAGAGATAAGTTGTTGTGACAAATATTACACTCCACTACAAAATCATCTGTCAAAATCATCTTTCTGTCCAATATTTTTGTGGCCAACCTCGAAGTATTGTATATGATACTCTCGTTGTTTTTTCAGAATGCAAACTCAAGTGATTTTCTACAAATTCAGATGCAGACAGAACAGTAGCATCACAGATAATACATTGTAAATTTAATTTGCTTGAATACGTGAAATACATCCATGGCCATTTCATTACTTTTCTCTCTTCTTCGTATCTCCAAAGTTTTCTCTGCTGTCTTGCTATGTGTTTTGAAATTTTCAGCTTTGACATAATTATATTGATTTTCGCAAAGCCTGCACTGTGCTTCAAAATCCGTCAGTTTCACATAATATTTCCACAGATGCTTTTTAGTTGCAATACTTAGTGACATTGTGCCCGTTTGAAATGATTGGACGCGTGTAACTGAATACAACAAGAACCTTTCTGCCGAAGAGTATAAAAGAGAACGAAAAAAAACGCATAGTTCTCCATTTGTAAATATTGATACGTAGATAAAAACTGCTAACAATTATCAAAACACGCGATAACATTTCATACCGATGTGTAGTAATAACATCTCAGCAAAAGAGACGTTAGAGAATATTCTTTACACGAATACGATAATAAAATTATTGTGTTTTAATTATATTCGTGCAAAAAATACGCTATATAACGTCTTTTTGCTGAGATGTTATTGCTATATATACATATTTGGCATGAGATGTTACCACGTATTTTTATAATTGTTAGCTAGATTTGATCGACATATTAATATTCGTTTAATACACGGTTTTGTAAAAAATAATATATTATCTATATGTAAAACTATTCTCAAATTACGGCTATATCAAAGAAATACGCGTATTTTTTCGAAATTATTTATACTCTGCAAAAATGTAAATATAATTCAGCACAGTATTTAGTATAATACTTTCTTTTGTGGATTAAAGAGAATCATCCTAGTGAATTAGAATTCACTTTTTGTCTTGACGAAGAAAACTTTGGTCGTACTTTCCAAAGAGTTAAAATCAGATGGTGCTAACATCTCTTTAAAAGATGAAAATAAGGACAAATATATAAATTTAGTTATACAGTGGCGGTTAGTATTTCGTGTGCAAGAACAAATAAATGCCTTTTTAAAAGGTTTTAATGCTCTTATATCAACTTTAGTAAAAATATTTGATGACTATAAACTGAAATTGTTGATACGCGGTATACAACATATTGACGTGAAAGATTGGAAGCAAAATACTTTATATAGGAGACTGCAAATCATATTATTGTGCAATAATTCTGGAGAGTTGTTCTAGAAAAATATCTTACACTAAACTAGTATGCTCTGCGTTCTAATAAAAAAAGATTTTATTCCCATTCCCTGCGATTACTGCAAAAATTATTGAACGCTTTTATGTGTGCAACACAGTTATCATAGTAAATGCTTTTTATATGTGTAACTATTTGATAACGCTGTTATCCGTCTCTAACGAAATGTTCGGTGGCAAAATTTTTGTCACGCGAATTTCGGCGTTCCATCGTTGTTACAACGATATTGCTATCATATTTATTGCATTGTTCTGCATTTTTTTTTTTAGATTTCTAGGCATCGTGCGTTATAATTATATCTCACAGAACGGTCGCGACACGTTCCTCAATAGGTCATTTTTGGAGAAAGACTGTGATATCGTACGGTAATTGAAAAAGGCATCGCTTACGCATTCGTTGGGGCAATATTGTCCTAGTTGTATATTGTTGTTACTGTAAAAAAATTTACCTTGCGTCCTCGATGATTAAATCAAACGCTAATAAGCGTAAAAACGCATGCGTGCGATACACGTGACCTAGGTGCCTTTGGATACTACCCTATTACGAAATTTCTTTCGCTTGAAATGCAGCAGTCAGAAAACGATCCTCGTTGTGACTATGCTGTATCTGACGCATCTACGTAGAAAAATAGTCCAGTTCCGCTTGGCGCTGTCCTCTTCCTAGGAAGCGGGCGTGGGACTGGCGGCCGGCGGAACCGCCGAGCTGTTCGCAGACTGTTTCGCGCGTCTCCGCTTGATCAGCAGGGGGTTGTTCGTGTGATCGAGCTGCTTCAGACACGCCGCATCGTAGTCGACGCGCATCGTCGCCAACGATCGCGTCATCTCTTCTTGCACTTCCGGCCACATTTCTTCCCCCTCGCGTAGAACGCGTCCGGTGTGTAAAGGAGTAGCAGGTACCTCTGTGTATTTCTGCAAGATTTCGAAAAATATATTATAAAGAGGATTCGCACTAAAAGTGTAATAAATGTATTGTAAATCGTGCACTTACAAAGATCCAGTTGTTACGCATCACAGCGTCGATTTGCAATCTTTCGGCTGGATCTATACACAGCATGCCCTTAATAAGGCTTTTGGCCTCCTGGCTCACGTTCGCCCATTCTGGATAAGGGAAGTCATATTGCCCTAACCGGATTCTTTTTTTCATTCCGGGCGAAATCGCCAGTCCGTGATTGCTGTAGAATGGTGGGAAACCGCACAATCTAAACATAACGAATACGTTATTATAGTGCTTTTAATCTATTAATAAATATAATCTATATTATATTAATAATGGAATTTATTAATAAAACTGTAAGAACGTTGAGAATGTATATTATTGCAAAAAAGAAATTATTAATAGAGAAAAGAAAAAGTTTTATAAGTAGTATACTCACAATATGTACATGATTACTCCCAATGACCAAATATCACAGCTCTTGTCATATTTCTCTGGTCCCAAAACTTCAGGGGCTAAATAAAATATATATTGTCGTTTTATTTCAACTGCACAATTAGTTTAACAAATGCATCTGTATAGTGAAATATGAAAGCTTACCGACATAATAAGGTGTGTAACATGGCGTCTGTAATGTGTCTTTTAAATGTGTTTCTTTAGCAAACCCGAAGTCGGTGAGTTTCAGGATTCCAGTACTATCTAGAAATAAATGCACAGATTACATTAATAAAATAAATATTATTCCATTCATATACAAGTTATTTTTAGATGCAAATTTACAGATTTAAAGCAAATATTTTGCAAATTATCATATTTCACTTATTTTTAAACTAAAAAAATTGTGCAAAAATAATAAATGATTTATCAAGAATATTTACACGGTGATTTATATATATATATATATTATTCTCTCTATTGTATATAGATAGATAAAGATATAAACTTTACAGTTATACCACTTCAAAGATTATAGAGAGATAATAAGTGATCTTAAGTTCATAAAATGTTGCTGATAATAATGTTTTCAAGTTGTCACGCCTTGGAAAAACGAATGATGCAAGATTTTATAGGATATGCAATATATAAATATAACTCACCAGGTTTAGAATATAAAAGATTTTCGGGTTTTAGATCCCTGTGTGTAATGTTCATGTCGTGTAGATGCTTTACCGCAACACAAATTTCGTACATCACTTGCGCAGCCTCTGCAAAAAGAACAACGCAGTTGTGCGCAACTTCTAAAAATTTCTAAAGAGCAAAAGTAATTAAATTTTGAATGCAAAGCCGTACCTCTTTCGGTAAAAGCACCGTCTTGTCTGTCTTGTATCCTTTGAAATAGTTCCCCACCTTCCATGCTGAAAAACAATTAAATGCGGATTGTAGCGACCGCGGTCGTTTAAAAAAAATAGTTATTATGTTTTACGTACCATTCCATAATTACTAGCAGACACTTATTCCCGCTGTAGGAGTTTTCGTATACGTCTTTGACTTGGACTATGTGCCTACAATCCGACGCTCTCCAGTGAAGCTCGACTTCTCTCCGCGCCTTCGCGCAGTCATGCAGGACCTGCAAGGAAGTGCACTGTTTAGCGCGACGTGCTTAAGAGAAGCCTCTAATTAAGTTGCAAGAGGACAAACAAGTTTCAGAACAAAAGATTCAATTTAATAAAGAAATTTAACACCCAGTTACTAATTCGAATTAGTGACGTGAAAATTTAACGTTGGAAACTTTTGCTACGCTGTTAGATAAAGAGTGAGTAACTTTTCATATATTTAAGATTCGAGATACCGTACGCGATTGTACGACTGGCGAACTGGACAATCCCGGTGAATGTGTCAAGATAATCACCGCTCAGATATTCGTATCAATGTTTCATATCACGTTTTCATGTTACATGCAAATCATTGTAGCTGGCAGCTAAAAGACTTGACTCAGAGCTCGCAACAATGTGATCGAAACGACAACGTCATCGCGAGGATTTCCTAGATAAAGCTCTTTTTTATCCTACTCACTGCTTCCGACAAACTGTAGTAATGAAACACGCGCAGCAGCTTACATAACTCACGTAATAATTGATAAAAATTTGTCACGTAACTAACTCATAAACATCATGAAATACGATTAATGATATCAGGAAATAAATTAAAAATAAAGATACGTGGAAAAAAATAGTTCGCAGGTGTCGATTATGATAAATTTATCGTCTTTAAAAGCATGCGATTTTTGTAATATTCAAATACGTTTAAATCTGCAATTCAAATTCTGGAATAACATTCACGTGTATTTAATTCGCGTAAACCGATACAACAAGTCGATCAATGAGATGTGATTAATTTTTTATCTTACACTCCGTTTTTATCTAATTAATTTAAATTAATTTAAATTCAATTATATTATCCTAAATCTAAATTACTTTTAATCAATCTAATTTAATTATATTGATTCCTGAATTCACTCGCTCAATATCAATGCTTTAATATTACAGTTAGCGAAAGGTCGATTCAAAAATTCAATTCAACTTTGAAACTGAATATTTCAGGATTTCCTGTATGTACGATCGCGGTACAAAGAAAAAAGAACTAGCGACACTAACAAAGCAACATTGATTTTTTACTATATATAGAGGTGAATGACACACAAGTCGCTGACGGTACAATTCTGATTAGTCAATTACACTGAATGGCTTGCCATACAAAATTTATCAAGCGAGTGGATGCGTGTACGCACACGGCATAAGCGCCTTCCTCTAAACGGACATGCTCACGTAATTGTGCCCTTTTCAAGCACGATCTTCCCGGACAATCACGTGAATTGTCGCAGACGTCCATTTATTGCGTACGGTGGGAAACCGGCTAAAATAGCCGCGTCGCTTGTGTACACACTCGCACTGTGTAATACGCAGAGTCCCCGTGTGACAACAGACGATTTATTAGTGTCGTCGCGATTTCGCAGATCCGCTGCTTAATATGCCATTTAATTTATTCGACATCACACAGATGAGTGGCGTCGACGAACACACAAACCCGCATTAACACACAAATACCGCGCCGTATTGTCACATTAAAAGCACGATTCTCGGAAATTTATAGTTTTTTATTTTAAGCTGAGATATTCACTGTAATGCTAAAGCGGGATCAAATCGTCGTATCAAAGCTCAGTTCTCTTAAAGCAGCCTGGAAGCTTTTTCAATTCATATAATGCAACGCGAGAGATCGAAACGAGATTAGCGTATGAAGACTTCAGTTTTTTTTTTAAAAGAGCTTTTTTTATTTTATAATTGAATTGATACTTGATACATTGAGTACGACGATAAAATTAAATGGGTAGCAAAGTAAACGAGGATGTTTGTACGCTTTTATAAGATGGAATGTTGGATGATTTAAAAATATCGAAGGGAAACGTGTGAGATAGATGGTGGGAAAAGAATAATCAGAACCGGTTTCTAAGATTTCTATCTAACGCGTACCAAAGGCTATTGACACTAGCCATAATAGAGATCTGTAAAATTAGTCCTACTTTTTTTAAATAAAAAAAAAAAAGTTTGTAATGCTCTCCGAAAATTCGAAAAAAGTTGACTTTATAGAAATTAATAAGATTTTTCTGTAAATCTGCATAACAAAAAAAAATGTAAGCTTCCATAAAAATTAAAATATTAAAATTTTATGATCAAAAATTATATATCGTGAAAATTGGACGCCAAGTTAAATGAAACGGTAAAAAATTTGTCGTATACTAAGCAGATATAATACGAAGGTTTCAGTAAAAATATCAGAACTATCACATGTCAAACGCTAATAAACTGGACAACGGCGTATGCCAATGAGATTAACACCTCACGGCACACAAAGTCATTTGCCGTGCGAAGTAGACGGATGGATGTACCAGAATTGTCTACGATAGTTCCTGGCGACAGTTCAGATTATGCGCTGGTCGTCCCACGTCTCGCGCCGAGGATTTTACACCGCTTGGCTATAAAAGCCGACAACGTAATCCGATGCAACGCAACGACGTCACGCTCGTGGAAACGCACAATCGATCGTGTTCTCTTCAACTATCCCATATCGCGATAATACGTCAGCGCCCCAAGCAAAATCGACCATGGAAAATCCAATAGAAAATCAATCGATCTTTATTTCGACACTTTTTGTTCGTTTAACACAGTAATATAATTGAAAGCATTAATTGAAATATTGATGACACTCATTGTTCTAATAAACTGATATTTTGAATCAAAACCAACGCAATTGTTTTTATCAGCACAGTGAATTATTACAAAAATTGTTGATCTAGCAAGATATCGATTTTAAATTAAACGGAAAGAACTATAAATCGATAAGAATGAATCGGTAAATTTTGCATTTCTCCCAAGACAATTTGTACACAATAATCTTTCAGTTCTCTGACGAGGAAAACATTGCATTAATCATGTGACTTCACCTACGTTTAGGAAACAGCTGCAGAGCGAAGTGCGATATATTTCTTCCCGATAATATCTAGTGTTTCAGACTTGAGGATTCTCCGCGTCCAACGAGACGTAGGCGGATAAGTATAAAGCGGCGCATGACTACAACACTGACAAGAGCGAAAACGTTGGCCAGCTGACAGCCGGTGATCAATCAACGAGAGCGAATTGGCAGCGCGAGAAACTGGGTTGCACCGGCGCCGCGCACTGCCGACGTGACGTCAGCAAATATTGAATTTTTAACAGCCGAACATTAAAACTGCGGAGGCCACCGGTACATCGCGCAATGTCATCACTCGCGTGATGCGTGCTCCACGCCATTGCGCTACACGCAAAACATAATTGCGCCGCCCGTTGAATTGTTCCCAGAAACGTCATTTCGTACGAAGCGAGGAATTCTGCGCCGCTCTGTTAGGCTCTGCTTTTGAGAACAGATGAAAAAGTAATTAGACGTCAACGATAATTGGCATCTGCGAGAATAGCTTTAGATGTAATCAGCTGCTTAAAATAGAAATATATTATTACACTTGTGCCGCATTGATTAGAAAATATTAATGGAGTAATTTTTTTCTTCAATGCGGAAAAATAATGATTAAAACGTTTGATTATAATGAAACGAGAAAACGTCATCGCTCTCGACAGGTTAAAACGGTGACAGTACATCGCAACGTTATGCAATCTACGCATCGATCGTTGCAATAACCGGAACAGTGCTGATAGAATCACTGATAAGATTACTTCTAATCAACGCTGAATAATCTTCTAGACACTTCAGCGCGTATTCATTTAATGAGAAGGCGGTTGCTTCGTGTGCGTTAGGTAATCTGCTAATCATCGGTGTATGATGTAACTTTGGAATTTCGAGGACTAATTTCGGTCTGTTGGGTTTCTCCAGACTGTATCAATGTCGTCAATCGGGTCTATCGTATTTCATATCAAGAGTAACTTTCACCACCACTAATTATAAATTATAAAGAAAGTCATCTGTGAAAAATTTGAATAATGCCGGCAATAAATCGCGTTTCGCACGAACAATCAACCTGTTATCTTTAACTCTTCTAGAACAATTCTGATTAACTCAATAAAGTACAGTTATTTTAAGAACAATCAGAACATTGTCGGCGTAAGAGCACTTATCAATTACAATACTTTCGTAATTCTTAGAGTAGCAATCAACATGTAAGGTCATTTTAAATCAATTTTTTTCAATTATTTTTATTTTCCACATAAAATGCGACAAACAAAAATAATTAAGAATTAATTCTCACGTTTGAGATTCTAAATATTTTTATTTTATTTATAAAAAAAGGCAGTCACATTTTTTTGCAAGTTTTTTAAAACGTGCCTACTTTCCGACAGCATAATTAATTTTTTATCGGCATCCAATTATCAAATTGATTCCTGTTGATATAACGATCGATTTCACGCTATTATTCAGCAGCAGCGTGGCAAATTCCTCGCCGTTTTATCATCGCGAACGAAATACAAAGAAGAAAAAGATGAAGCGAAGGATGCTCGTATCTCATGGACTTGTCGGTATTCATTACATTGACTCATTGAACACCGATTGACATAGTGATTGCGTCAGCTTTAACGATAGCATCCTTTGACCCTCGACGATACTCGACGATAGCCCATCGTAGTTGCGATCGCCGAAAGCCATTGACCATTTTCGCCGGAAAGGATGAGATCATCGGAAATATATAAAGCTCGCCGAGGGACGGCGGTGCATTTTTCGTGCGGATTATCACGCACATTCATGCGTGTTGCATTCTCCATCTCCGTGCGGGAGTACAAAGTTTGCGACGCTGCCAGAAAGCGCGGTGAGCATTCAATGATCGCGTGCCTAAGTGCTGACGGAGCACAAATGACACGTGCAACGGTAGGAGGAAAAAAAAAAGAAAGTGATCGATATCGAGAGCCGGTAAAATGCACGTGACTTTTTGCGTATCTCATATCTCACATATCGCACGTCGTACACGTCGGAAAAGAATAATTCGCTGACGAGCGGAAAAAAAAGATACTTTTAGTGAGCGCGTAAAAGTTTAAATGCTCGTTCAACGAAGAAATATCGCCGATGGAAAATTTCTGCGCCTCTCGCAAAAAAAAAAAATAATACTTTTCACGAATGAGCGGGAACTGTTTATGTTCGCATCGAGTGTTATCCAAACTGCAGCGTCGCAACCGCGCCGGTGTGAAAAATCACAGCGACACGATCCTTCGCGGTAATCCCGCGCGATACCGCGAACGTCCCCGAAACATCCGGACAGCCTGATTATTTTTGCAACGAGTCCGAGAAGCCGCGGGCGCGAGATTGCGCATCTTCTCATGGCGGGAAGCGTTTCACGACGAGCTGTTTTACTGCCGACTTTCCAGAAGAACTAGCTCGCGATTTCGTATAAAAAGAATCGAGCGTCGCGAAAACAAACTTTGGGGATTCTCTCGAATCAAGTGCGTTGCGCGCCATAAAAATAACTTGTAGCGTTTTTCAGTAAACAGACAGCTTGTTTGAAGATCTAACTATTAGCGGGAATTTAAATTCATGGAAAGAAAAACGCGAGGAATGCGATCGCGCCCGAGCGTCACGCGATCTTCGTGATCGGTCATCAGCATTTCGCATATCTGTATCTGCGATCAACATTCCTCGTGAGAGAGAGAGAGAGAGAGAGAGAGAGAGAAGAAGAGAGAGAGAGAGAGAGAGAGAGAGAGAGAGAGAGAGAGAGAGAGAGAGAGAGAGAGAGAGAGAGAGAGAGAGAGAGAGAGAGAGAGAGAGAGAGAGAGAGAGAGAGAGAG